CTTGTTTATGTAATAGAGCAAAAGCCAGCGACGGCCATACCTTCGTTATTTAATAAAGGCTGACAGTTTCTCTATGTATGCCCCAACACAGGTAATAACAAACCCATAGAGCTGTCAAACTATCGACGATACTATCGATAGAATCGATAGTCTGGCCACAGGAAATAACTATTGATAGTTCTGGTATTATCGCCACTATCGTTTCATTAATAGCGTATTCTCTTTCCTGGCACTTTTGACATTTGCACGTATTGGTTCAAAGAGAACAAAACTTGGCAGCATTATTTCATGAACGTACGAATAATAGGCTCGTCAGAATGGGTATTTGTACGTCAATAACGGAAAAGTATGCGAAGGGAGTGGCGTACGTAACGTAGAGATACGCCACAATGAGGGTGTTGCGTCTGCAAACAAAAATCAACTGTTCCTTATGGGGGTTTACACAAGCTAATTTTGCAGTAACAATAGCAAAATATTCACACTTTTTTTTACTAATATATTCACACTTCTCTTGATGTCTTCGTCACTATCTTTGACTTTTCGGAGACAGTTTATTGTCTGGACGTCTACTCTACTGAAAAAATGTGACAATTAATACATATTCTCAATTGTCTTGCCTTGTGTAAACGCAGGGTTATACAACTGTCAGCAGTGACGGACTTACGTGCATCAAAAGTTGAGTGTTGGCCAACGTTCGTTGGGTCCGTCGACGCAAGGGTTACCAATCTGACGCTCTCTATGCAAACACACATAGTCTACTCAACTGTCAGTTTCATCCTTGAGCGGAACGTACGCAAAGTACCCATTCTGACGCGGCCATAAAGATCATCCAGGACGGAGTGCGAAAAAAAAGTATTTTTTTGCAGTGCCGTAATTTTTTCGCCGCCATGTGAATGAAACGGAATGAGACCATGTGTGTAAATGAAACAACCGACTAAAAAATTACGTTATCAACTATTATTTTTTATCTCAAATGCAATTACAAATACATGGTTGACGTGCTGGGCGGAAATACCAGAAATTACATTGCCGTCTTAAGAGCGTGTCAGACGTGGCAACGCAATATATTTCAAAAGACTGTCAAATTAAGAAATTTCAGAAAGCAGTTGCATAAGCAGTGGCACCTTGCATGTAAGTGTCTATATGTCGAAAGAAATTTTTTTATTTCCGAAAGGCGAATTGCAGGGAAAATTTCTGAAATCGCTTTTAGACTTTTTACACGGCGAATGAATTCTAGCAATATTTCTCGATACTAAAATGCAACCGTGAGCCGTTAAAACCAACAAATTCATAAAAGCAATATAACGAAAAATAAATGAATTTAGAAAAACATATGAAATGGGTCGATACTATCAATAGACTTGACTATCGATATTTTGACAGCTCTACAAACCCAGACTATGAAATTTGGATAGGGGTGGCTTTGGCAGGTAGCAGGTAGTAAAGGTGTATAAAATAGCACCTCATATTCGTTATAGTATAAAGGTTAGTTTTTATATATTTTATTCGTAATAATATTAGAAACTACGTCTACGTCTTGAAAAGTTTTTTGAGATAGGGCGTTTTCGAACTGGCTGCCCAGAAAGGTTGATCTTCCACTCAGCAGTCGATATAAACCAGAAGATAATCATTTCAAGTGGTTTGAAGGGGATCAGCTACCAAGTTATGACAGTGATTCTCTAACAAGTATATCAGGTATGAAATTATTATGCAAAATTATTGTATGTACATAAATTTGTGGCAAATCAAAATTGTATTAACTTGGTTAAATTATTTCAGAAATTGACGTCGCAGGCAAAGATCAATCGGACTGGAGTATCTATCAGTGGTGACGATAATGGAGATATGGACGACGATGAAAATTATGAATTTAATTAAATAGTTAATACAAAAATACATACATACATATTTGAAATCTTACTTGTCTTAGTATTAAAAAAACGTACTAAATTTAAAAAAATACGCATTTGAAAGAGCACCAACCCAACTCGTTTTAAATTTGAGTGTGCACGTTATAAAATATGTCGTTGTGAAGTGCACAGATGCTTTTTCGTTATACGAAATTATAATTAAGAAGAAAAAAAATATTAATTTTATCTTCCGTCTGATGGTAATTGAACCCGGACCCTCTTGGCAGCAACCAATTGTATCAAGCGTCTTTGCACACTCAGCTACAGCCATACACGTAAATGTGTTTTCAAATCTTGAGTTTGAATCAACATCACAGCGCGCGATTAGTGCATTTGTACAGATAAACGTATACCATGTATGTGTGTATGTTTTGTCACTGCTGTGCATGCTTTGTATACATATATATACTTTCTTAATTACATATGAAAAAGCATCTGAGATGTGCAAACCGACAGCCGTGCAGTGAAAAATTCTTCATTTTAATACGGGCGTATTTGAATTGAATATTTCTATTATACGTAGTGTATGTATAATGACAATATTCACTTTTCACTTGATTTAAAAACGTACATTTTTAAACGGTAATCAAATAAAAAATTTTCATTTTAACAACGCGTTTTTTTTTCTCAGTGTAGTTTTGTTTAGTTTTTGTTTCGCTAAAAAAAAATAATTTTTTGGTTGGATTGCTCATTACACTTTAGGAGCGCTAAAATGACAGAAAAAAGCGCAGAGACACGTAAACTGAATTTTGGGCCATCGATTACGGATCTGTATACCGCTTTTCTAGATCAGGTAATTTTCCCAAGATATTTTCATTTGAGGTTTGCATTGCGAATGAAAAAAACTTTAACATAGAAATGTTGCCAACAGCAGTGTTTTCTGCATACGCTTGCATCCAGAACTCTCTTGGCTCCCTTCGTATTATTTAATATTCAAAGTGCTGTTTTCACTGATGTCCAGAAGTTTTCAAAAGCTTACTTTGTCATCTCAGTAGGTTTACTTTTCGGGTCACATGAAAAGGGGTTTGTTATCCAGCTGTAGACATCCTCAGAGTCAATGTTGGGAAAATATTCGACAATGTTTTTTTCTAAACCTTCCAAGTTAACGCTGATAATGCGCGTTAACGCTAAGAAAATAACTTTTACAGCCAATTTCACGAAAGCAATTTAATTTAAATTGCTGGTGAAACCGGCTGTTATCAATTTTCGTAGCGTTAACTTCGAAGCTACATACGTTTTTCTAGTTCACTTTGTTTATTTATGACGGTTTCATGCAAATCGCTAGACATTCTAAAATATACATTTCACCTATAAAAAGATCTCGACGCGCTAGAAAAAACCAAAGATGTATTTTAATTTCACAGGCCTCTGTTATCTTCGCAGCGTCATCCAATACGGGTTTTAAATCTAGTGGCGGCATCTTCCTAGTCGCCAGGGAATACCGACACACATTTTTCTGTACAAATTTGTCGATAGCTTTAAAAATTTCGTTGATAGTGGTGTAAGTCTTAAGTACTTCGCTCATCAAAAGTTCTTCTTCGATTTGCATTGCGAATGGGTACCTTACTAATACGAGAAGAACATTAAGTCCCACTACGTCGGTACTTTCGTCAAGTTGAAAACTAAAAAATTCACAAGGTTTCAAACTTTTTATAAGTTCGTTCTCGACTGCCTCTAAAATCGCTCTTTCGCAGTGTGAATAAGAAGTTCCAAAGAATAAGTAACATATATACGTGCGCAAAGCTGCTGCGCTTGTTACGAGAACAGCCCAGCCAGCAAAAGATCCGAAAATTAATCTGAAAACCGGAAGAAAAGTGGGTGAAATGCGGATTAGGTCTACAAAAGTACCGAAAATGGTTGTGAAAAGGGTATGATTTCTGCTATTATTCTAAAAAAAATTTTTATTGAATTTTTCGTTGACAAAACGTACTGGGGAACTACGCTTAAGAGCGAAATACATCACACAAGCGGCTTGACAAACCAAGCGAAATATCCCTTTGCTGCAAGCCATTTGTGTTGTGTATGGGGTTTCACGAGCCGCTGAAGGTAATTTTAATAAAAATCAAAATTTTTTGATTTTCTGGTCGCCATGTTGAAGTTTGATCAAACCGTATATGGAAAGTTTAAAGAATTTGCCCCCACCACTAGTATAGGCTGACTTCCAAAACGTCTATTGCTTTGCATACGTACAAAGTATAGGGTTCCATAACGTCGAACTACAAAATATTGGCAATGTATACTGTTCCAAAACGCAGCCGAAAAGTTATCGAAACGCATCGCTAGAGCAATCAGCGCATCAGAAACAAAGTTGATTCTTCGTTTGTTATTGGTTACAATTTGTGTTTTAAAAATGGAAGATTGAGAAAAATTGTTCATTGCTATATTGAATATTAAAAATGTGCAATGTATATGGTTGCAATGTGTCGCAACTCTGCATATACAAACAGTTTGAATACCGCAGTATAACAGTATCCAAATATTGTATTGATACGTTTTGGAAGTCAGCCATACTCAAGCCACTAGCGGCACCCCAGGCATATGCTCGCCCCAGGGTGCGGCGGCCTGCTCTAGAAAGTTATAGCACAATGACAAACATGAACAAATGTACAACAAACACATATTTTTTTACAATCAGTATAATTCGAATTAATATCAACAAGCAGCGTTGTAATCTCTAATTAGATTTGTTTTCGTTTGTACTAAATTTGTGCATTGCAGCTGGTAAAGTAACGAAAATTTGGATACTCGTATGTATTCGTGACTAATCCAATCAACACCCGTATCTTTCGTATCGTTACTTTACTCGTTACTTTTGATACAAGCACTTGTACCTCACAAGAATCTTGCAGCGTAAGGAAATGTTCGTACATATTAGGAACGTTAATCCCGGGATCCCGGGGTGGCTTTCTGTAATTCTATATCGAGCAAAAACGTGTATCGAAGTATCGTTTTTGCTTTCCCTAACGATAAATATCGTCGTGCTGTATCGACCATTCGATAGAAACTGTTCGACACCACTTTTGCTCTCCTTTTGCCTTTCGCAGCTGTCAACCTCAACCAAAATGTAAGTTAAAATTTTTAATTTTTCTGTGATTTTAAACGTTTTTTATTTATTTAGGAGTCAAAAAACGAACGCTGCTCAACTTAAGCTTATGATAGAATTTATGGAGCAGCACGACGCTTTAACCAAAAATAGTTTGCAATGTGTTAGCAATGGGCGCGAGAAGAAAAAGAAGTTATGGAGCAAATTAACGGAAATGTTAAATAGCAACGGGCCTCCGATGAAATCAACGAAGGGATGGCAGAAAGTAAATAGAAATACTTAGCAAATGATTTTAGTTGTAACATTAAATTCATGCAATATTTCTAGGTATGGACTGACTACAAATATAATGCAAAGCGCAAGTTAAGCGCCCGAATGAATAGTTTAAAAAAAACGGGTGGTGGGCCATATGATGCCGTTAAATTAAGTAATTTGGAGGAACGTGTAATTGCTGCAGCAAATATAAACGCACAAGTAATGGGCATTCCGGGCGTGGCGTCATATGGTACCAAAACAGACGAGCCTTGCTCTTCTACTGCTGCCCCGGAACCGGACGAAGCTTTCGTTAGTGACTCTTTAAGAGAAATGTTAAGCGAATCCTCGAGTAATAATGAAAATGAAGGGGCAGGTGAGACTAATACACCAAGAGGAAAAAGAAGCGCCGACACGGCAAGCGACAGAGAGGCACCACCATCACCTAAAGCACCACAAACGTCTAAACTAAAACAAACGCCTATAGTACCACAAACGCCTAAAAAGAGATGTGTAGATCCAAAGATAAGAATCATAGAACAGAAATAGAAAACCAAGACAAATTTCAAACTGAAATATTAAAGCTTTTAAAGGAGAAAAATGAAATTGAAGAAAAGAAGCTGCATTTAATGGAAAAGCAAGTTGCATCTGAAATTCAGTACAAAAAAATGAAATTGCAAGTATTACAATTAAATTTAGAGAAAGTTACGTGTGAAATCGAAGCGCTAAAACGAGAAACAAATGATAACTTATAACTTATGTAAAGTACAATGAAATGCAATGCTTTTAAAAGAGAACAATAAGATTGAGTTGAAAAATAAAATTTCAAGCACTACAATTAAATTTAGAGATAGTTAAGTAAAAATCGCTTTGCTGAAACGCGAAACAAGTGATAAATGAATTTATAACTTATGTGAAGTACAATGTTTATGTTTTATGTTACTTATTTATTAACAATCAATACAAATATAATTTTTACATTGCGGTTTGGGAAAAATGTTCTTTTATTCGATTTCTTATTCTTTCAGCTTCTCGGTTAACTATTTCTGGTGGAGTGGTATCTACCCCTCTTTCTTGTCGTGAAGTTGCAGCTTCGTTATTGCTTTCAAACTGAACATTGCGGCTGATGCACACATTATGCAGAGCTGCACACACGTTTGCAATTTTGGCAACCAATGTTGGGTTATACCTTGGCTTTCTGTCGTCAGATAATATCCTCCAGCGCCCTGAAGTAGACGATGTGAATAAAACTAATATAAAAAGAACTGAATTTTGCAATATGCTAACCTTTATAAACCCCAATGCTTCTTTCAACAACGCTCCTTGCTTTGCTATGTATATCATTGTAGATACATTTACTTGCGTCAGTTTCATTTTCTCGTAATCGGTATGGGGTCATTAGCCAAGGTTCAAGAGGGTATCCAGAATCGCCTTAAGATATATTTTCGAGTTAATATATGTTTTTTCTATTGAATATATTTTAAATGTTCACCGACTTTACCTAATAGCCAAGAATTTGTATCTCCGCTGTTGTATCGTCGCTCCATTACCATTCTCTCATTGGAGGCCTTCCACACAAACGAGTCGTGTGCAGCCCCCCTAATTTTGGGCATATAGCTCTTATAATTAATTTATGGTTGCAGATCTACATTAAAGATTGTCCAATACGATAATTCATAAACAATTCCAAGGAAATTTCATACATAAAGTATATATATACTTACTATCATTGCATTAATGCTATGTTTGCCTTTTCTATTAAAATATATGTGTTCGTTTTCCACAGGTTTTAGCAACTGCAAATGCGTACCATCGACGGCACCGACAACTGCAGTGGATTAAAATTAGAAAGATTAGAAAGCTAGTTATTGATTCGACGAATTTACCCCCAGGAAAATTGTATTTTTGATTGAACCACTCCTTACACGGCTGGAAGTCTTTTTCATAAACTATGCATTGGCTACATAAATGGTCTTCCATGGATGACAACGTGTCGCGTTTGCCACTGGTACCCGCCACCTGCTAAAATTTCCAGTGTTGCTGCTAGTCTCATGATTGGAGGAATATATGTAGTTCTCATGCATTTCCTTAATTTTATTTCGTTGAGAACGTACATAAATACTTCTTTGGTCAGCCGATATTTTGTTTGGAAGCTTAGAAATGGAAATAAATTGAAAAGAAATTGAATGCTCCTTAGTTTTTACAATATTAATTAAACTTACCACTTTTCAGGCAATTCCATGGGATTAGATGCATCTCGGATCCTTCTTCTATTAATTAAAGAGTTTTCCTCTCCAAAACCGTCCAAAATCAAAAAATAACGCCAATTGTACATTGTTTTCATTCGAATTACCATTTATATTTATTTATTTCACACAGGTTTTGACAGCTACAAAACACTCGAAACGCTTCCTACAATAGGAAAACGAGAGTGGTCATATCGAAATACGGAAACCAAAATGGTCTCGCCAAGCGTTCGATATCGAATTGAAGTATCGAGCCGACGAGTGTCGACTATCGAATTACGGAAACCCGCCCCCGGACTTTTTAAGGTCTCGAAAATCACGGTATTCTTGGCAAGTAACCCCGGGATTTTCGGGATTTGTAATTTTCGCTGATGGCAATAATAGAAACTCCTTTTCTTGACCAGTATTAGCTATATTTCTTTTTTATTTAATAATTAATATTCTTTTATAAGTGTCTAGCTCATTGTACATACATATAACACTGCACGATAGTAAATTTTAAACGCAAAAATCAATATATTCGCAAAGCCATGAGCCAAATATAATAAACTTGCGTTTTTAGTTTTTCACTCTGACGTCAGTAATTCAAAAATTATTTAAATTAAATGTGCTTAGAGAAGAAGTATGGGTATGAAATTAATGAGGAAATCCTGTAGAATTTAAACAGATTCAAGTTTCTGGTGCAGAAAGGCTGGTCAATATTGAAAATGTCATTTTAAAATTTTATCCTTGAAATTTCGCAATATTTGTTTTTGAAAAAATTATATGTTAAGGGCTTATATAAACTCGATAACATCCTCGAATTTCGTTCTTCTAACTTTGTCAGCTTAAAAATTACGTATTTGTTCCTGTGAATCCAAAAATTTTTAATTTTTTAAATTCTAAAGAAATTTCCTATTGCATTTGTTATCCATATTTTTATTCTACATTGCATTGAATTTTTTTAACAACTTTTGGAATTAATCATATCTTTGAAATTACAAAGTCCTTCAAAATAAATCCTGCGGTCAGAGAGAAAAAATAAAAACGCCACTTTAAACAAAAAAGTAGGTCTCAAACCCATTTATTTATTATATATTTCATGGTGAGAGCTTCTCAAACAATATAGAAGAAATTTTTTCCATTCAAGTTGTTGAAAAGTAATGAATATCTAAATCTCGGGACTAATCCCGAATCACGGCATTGTGAAAACGCCATCCCGAAATTCCCGGGATCGTAAAAAGCCGAAAAATTAACATCTCTAGTACATATGCATACATGTACATATATACATATCGTCGGCTTAGAGTGTTAACCTGCTAAATCGGTTTTTTTGGCAAAATTGACCTTTTGATGCAGTTCGAAGGAGAAGGCGATTCCGCAGTTGGCAAGCAAAAAAATACGTCAAAATAAAAATATAATTGTCAAAAATTTGTTGATGAGTAAAGCTGCTAAGTACAATCAGTTCAAATTCAACTGCTAAATCCAACATATTGTGCTTCTGTCGCTCGATTAGTTCTAGCTGAGAGTATTACTTTATGCGTTTAAGCCAAGGTAATAGCCAGCGAATAAGCTTAAATTTTACAGATGAATGATGTTACAGCTGAAGTGAGTGATCAGTTAGTAGATGTGGATGTTATAAGTATAATCAATCAACGATATGGTGATTCAGAAGTGGCATCCGACGAGACCGAAAACCCTACATTGTTAATTCCACCAATGAAATAAATTCTAGTTCTGAATCTGATTGTTACTCGGAGAAAAGTAAGAAACGAAAGAAGAGAGTACTAATGCAAAGGTCTAATTTGTTCGCAGCAAAAAAATGGAAAATTGAGAGAACACGGAAAGAAATATTATGGGAGAAAAAAGGAAGAAACATGGAATTATGAAAGAACCAAGACTGGTAAAGGAAAGGTGCAAGTGTCAGCAAAAAGAACATGGTACAATAAATTGTGCAAGCATCACGGAAGAAGATAGGGAATACTTATTCAAGGGATTTTGGAGCATGAGCTGGGAAGAAAAAAAAGTATATATTGACGGACTTGTGACATCGCGCCCTACTAAAAGGCAACGATTCAGAAATAAAAAGCAAAAATCGAGAAGAAATCGGACAGTTCTATACCATTTAAAAAAACAAGACGAACGAGTTAAAGTATGCAGGACTATGTTTCTCAACACAATCGGTATAGGAAGATGGACTGTGCTTAGCTGGAAAGGTAAGAAAACACTTGACGCAACCATAAGTAATGCTCCAACGACCTTTAGGCGTTCTGCTCTTGCAAACGTATCGTCTAATCCTTTTGCTAAAGAGCGCAAAGAGATGTACACGTTTTTAGATTCTTTGCCTACTATGGAATCACATTACTGTCGCGCCACATTCCAAACGAAATATTTGTTACCTGAGTGGTCTACAAAGCAATCTCTTTACGACTTTCACAAAAATGATTGGTATAACAGTAGGAATGTACGAGCTTTATCAATTGCCACCTTTTATGAAGCTTTTGATGTTAAAACCCTGGGCTTATATTTGTCGGATAAAGACCAGTGTGAAAAGTGAGCGTTGTACATTGTTGGAAATTTATCTTCTGAAGAATATTCAACCCACCAGCAGAAAAAAGAAGAAGCCAGAGCAGAAAAACTCAAGGACAAAAGCGAAGAAAATATTGTACTTGCAGTTGATTTACAAGCCCTTCTTATGGCACCAAAGTTAAAAGTTAGCAGTTTATATTACAGAACTAAATTTCAGGTGCACAATTTGACATTTTATAATATAAAAGACAAAGCCGGGTATTGTTACTTGTGGAACGAAACAGAAGGAGGATTAAATGCAGAAGAGTTTTCCAGCCTGTGGGTAGATTTGATAGAAAAAAATGTAGTACCAAATAATAGTTCCGGGGAGCCAATTACAGTAGTTTTTATAGCGACGGATGGACATATCAAAACTGAAACTGTGTTATGGCTAATGCTTTGTTATCCACAGCTATAAATAACAATATCATTATTGCTTGAAGTAGGCCATACCCAAATGGAAGCTGATAGTATCCATTCCACTATCGAACGAGCACTGAAGAAAAGAGATATCCATGTTCCTGCAGAATACGTTGAAGTATGTAGATCAGCTAGAAAAAATCCAAAACAATATGACGTAACTTATCTTACTTACACGTTCTTTAAAAGCTTTAACACAGTTCGATTCTTTAATAGCATTCGTCCCGGTCGCGGCAAAGATGCTGCTACATTTCAAACTAAGATTCTCCAACGAATGGCAAGTAATACCGCAAAGAAAATCCCCTAGTAACTGTTTCCTTGCCGTTTTCTCACCTTCCGAATTTATACGCGAGTAAGCGTACGATTTCTCGCAGAAAGTATGAAGATCTCCAGTATTTCAAACGATTACTTCCTGAAGATTACCACACCTACTATGACAATTTACCTCATGATTGAATAATATGTATCATACTTTCTGGCATTATTGAGTTCCTACTTAAATTATCTTATACATTGACTTTGTACTATTAATTTGAGAGAGGAATACTTCACGTATAGTTATTAATATATGTATTATAAACTGCCTATTTTTGTTGCAATA